CAGGTTGAAGTCAAATGGCATAATTAGAAAAGAATTTGAAATTATTTTATTTTTCCTTTAAATAAATATCCACTGTTTACTCTTAGGTTATCAAGTATTTGGAAATGCATCTGGGTTTTTCAGGAAGTAAAATGATATTGATATGTATAATCCCTTGTTAGCTATCTAGCTTTATTTTTAGCAGTTAATGGAGTTATAAAATAAATAGATAAATAAATAGAAAGTGTTTCATTTGTCTAACCATAGAGTGTGTTAATTAATGCATGCAAAGTATGGTAACAACAATAAAGACTGAAATAATCAATTTTAAAATCTTGATCATGAAGTTTTCCTAAACTATGATGTGCAAATTGAGACACAATAGACAAAATTGACACTGTTTTGAATCTAAATAACAACAATTTTATCATTGACTAAATTGAGTTTAGCAAAGAAAATGAGAATTCTTCTTGGTATGCAGTTAGTGTGAAATATGCACACGGTAAAGAATAAATAAAATGTTGTCTATAAAAACATCTGGATTAGAGATGTAAAGCTAGCACTCATAAATTTAAATTAAAGCTCATGGGATATTCACCACCAGAAGATAGAATAATGGAAAGGAATACAGACATTGAAGGTATAAAATCAGCTACACAAAAATTACACTCATAAATGAAAGATGTTAGTTGATGCATTTCTTGGTTAGAAGGTTTAAGAAAAAACTAATGGGCACAGATATATAGACATAGTCATTTTGGGCTACTTCACCAAGGAACTGAGTATCTGTAGGAACTCAATTTGTGTTATTGGTAGTACTTTTACTAAGACAAGGGCTTCAATTTCTTTGGAAGAAACTAGTTTAATCAAAAAGGGTGTAATTTCAATCCTATATATGTAATAGCCTAGAAATACTGAAGAATAGGACAGGACATTCTGTAGTAATTGAAATATAAAGCATAAGAAAGACAATGTGAGGTCAGCAGTAGACTGTGTGCTTGAATGCTGAACACTTGGTTCCATTGTTGTTTCTTTGATGTTGTGCTTACTTACAATAATTCAGCATTTTTACATAAATTTATGGCATCTTACTGTATTTCTAAACTATTATTGTAGAAATACTGGATGTTTTTCATCCAGTAAAAAGCATGGGTTTCTGTCATCAGAATGCTGCCTTAGCCTACTAGCAATTATAAAGATTCATTTGCTGTAAGTCAGAAGAATTATCTTTGTGATCCACGCAATGGGTAACCAGGTGCAGAACAGACATCAGCCATGGCTGTCAAGTAATATAAAATAGAAGTACAATTAGCTATTGCAAGAGAGCTTTTAGGGAAACTTTCCAAATAGAAGCCGAGTGCCTTGAATAACTTAATTAACTTCCTGCAGGATCAAATCCATCACTGTTAAGTACCTGTCACATATAAGTATTGCCCATAGTGTGGTTCAATAAATGTTTTGTATTAATGTTGAAATTATTTATGCCTCTGTATTACAATATCTAGGGAAATAAAATATTTTCTATATTAAAAGATAACTTTTATAATTGAAAAAGCAACTGCTGTGATATTAAAAGAAAACTAATATTGAGAGTATGCTACATGGGAGTATGCTGAATGGTTTATTAGGGATTAGAAATAAAAATTATATTTCTGAGACACTGTTGTCATCGTCATATATCAATCTAAGGTGGAAATTTGTGTCACATTCCATAAATGTCTACGTCATCATTATACGATTGCTGGAAGCAGATTCTTACATATCATAGAGTGGTGGTTTCAAAGTCAGTAAGTGTTACTTCAATTCTTTTATTCATCCATAGAAGATTCCGATTCCTATCATGTTAAAAAATTGAGTGTCTACGTAGGTGTTAGCACCTTGTCTTTCAAGATGAGAGATGTCAATTTAGTACTCTAAAACTAAAGATACAGGGCTATCACAATAATCTCACTAGCCCCAGCCATTTGTTTTTGATATTCTTATTCTCAAACATATTATTTGAACAGAGATAAAAAGAAAAGATTTTTTTAATTGTGTGTGCTACAGCCTTCTCTCATAGCTGATTTCTTCCATTATTGACAGTGAACAGTTGCAGGTACTTTGAAGAAAGTAAAATTCAAATTCAGGAGTCAGTCAGTGACATTGAGCATCAAAGATTAGAAGCATGTTTTCTATCTTATACTTAAGAACATGCAATTTGATACTACATTGTGAAAACTGGTAAGCATTGTTTTATAAAGAAACATCATTTTCCTTCTGGGACTGGATTACCTTTCACTTATCCTCCATTTTCTTTCAAAAAAGGACAGGCATCCCAGAAATATCAAACAAACATAGCTTATCAAGTTGCACTAAAACTAGTCACTTCTCCTAATATTGTCTGGACAAGACAACCCAGTAGGTACAAAAGTGTCCCAAAAGCTGACAAAAATATCAGAAACATGCCCTGTTCCCTCTTTTATGAACATCACAAAATACCTAGTACAAAACTATATTATGTATATAAAGGGTTGAGTTTAGACACATTCAAACTTCTTGATTTTCAATTCAGTCTCAGTGATGCCCAGTGAGTCCAGGTTTGTTAATTCTGTGGATTTTGTTGTAGTGTCATTGACCCATCTGGCTCCGTGAATCCTTCCTCTGCTTCCTCCACAGGATTCTATCTAATGTGTGGCTGTGTGTCTTTCTCTGCATCTGTTTCCATCAGTTGCTATATTAATACTCTTTGATTGTGAATTGCCAGTCTCTTGTATAAAAGTACATCAGAATATCATTAGGAATCAATTCAATTTCTTTTAGTTATTTTCATTTTTTTCTCTCTATTTTTGCCAGGGATGTTTTTTTCTATTCTAGGTATCTAGGCAATCCAGCTTCTGGTTTTGGATCCTCCTGGAAGTGTCAGGGTTCAGCTCTCTCTCATGGCATGGTCTCAAGCTGGACCAGTCAATGGCCAGCCACTACCAGTTTCTGTGCCACCATTATCCCAGCACATCTCACTGGCAGGATAGACCGTAAGTTGAAGATTTTGTGGCTAAGTTTATGTCCCAATATCATAATCACCAAATCCCTCCACTCAAGAAACTAGACATCAACAAACCAAATAATGCAACTAAAATATTGGAATGCAGATCTAATCAGAGAATTCTCAACAGAGGAATCAAATATTCATCATCATTAACAATCAAGAAAATCAAAATGACTCTCATATCCCTATCTTACACTGATCAAAATAGCTAAGGCAAAAACAAACAAACAAACAAACAAAAACACCATGGATGTCATTTTTAAAACAACCAAGTAATGCTCATTGTGCAAATTACTACATTTTTTTTACCATGGTATGAAATTACGATAAGTGGATATTAGCTGTTTAGTAGAAAATAATCATGTTGTATTTCAGAGATACAGAGATGCTAAGTCATAAGGAGGATTCCAAAAAAGACACATAGATTTCTTTGAGAAGGGCAAATAGTGTCGCGGCCGCCTCGCCAGCAAGGATGATGCAACACAGACTCTTCTCACTGCAGTTTATTCAGGAACCTTGAACAATCTTCTGACCTCTCGCCCCGGGGAAAGCCAGCCCACAGCCTAAATAACCTCTGGGTAGCCAACCCCAGCTAGTCACGTGGGAAATACAGATAGGTCCAGAAACGCGGAATCAAGCCAGATCCTTAGCATTAGCCATATATGGAGTTGTTTGCGACCTAGAGCACTCACCATTGGAAAGGTGGAAGGTAGAAACCAGCTCCATCTTTAAGGCGTGGCATTACACAGCTCTCTACAAAATAGAATATATTTTGCAGGTGGAATGGGGTGGTAGGTATGGAGGGATCAGGTAGGGGAGGGATGAAGAGAGTACTAGGAGAGGTTACTGGAATTGGACTTAGAGCTTAGAGACAATTTAGGATCCTGGTGCTGTGGAAATTCAACCTATGAGGGTGACCCCAACAAAAACTGTTAGTAATGCCAGGCATAGAGCCTGAACCAGCCTTCTTCTCTAACCAGACAAAGTTTCCAGTAGTTGGGGACAGGGTTATTAACCAGGCACAAAACATTCTGTCTTAAATTTTCCTGTCTGCAGGATGTGCTTTGGAAATATTGAAACAAAACTTCTGGGAGTTGCCAAACAATGTCTGATTCAACCTGAGGAAATGAAATGAAGCCCATTCCTGACACTGCATGGATTGCCAGGTACCAGAGGCTGAATAGCTCAAAGATCTAGGCTAGAACTGAACAAATGTGGGCAAAAATAGATAAATTAGATGGATAGATAGATAGATAGATAGATGATAGATAGATAGATAGATAGATAGATAGATAGATAGATAGATAGAT